TATTAATTGATCTTGGTTTACAGCAATATTACATTACATAATATAGACCTTTCTTAATTTGTGTCCATATGTTGATTTGTTTTCAAGGATGACAGTCTATCTTTGCTGAAAATGCTACCTAAAATGCAAATCCTAATAGTTTTAAGTAACACATACATGAAATCAATCCATTTTTATCTAGAGTTTGCTGAAAATTTATAATTTTTATGTCTACAATTTTTATGAATTACGAAATTTATTATAATTTAATAGTCTGAATCTCTGTAGGTACTATATTAATGTGGGGTAGAAGTTATAGAATTGTTGACCAGGTTGTAGTTACTCCTAGTGTTATATGACAATAAAAAGTCTCATTAACCTTGTTCCTTTATTTATCACCAAAACACATGTTGACAATTACTGGAAAATTTAATCACTACTCATAAATTTACATGGCATATTTGTAAACAAGATAAAGTTATAGAAATGGACTTTGGGTGTTAGGTTCTCTTGGTATAGTATGTAAGTAGGCCGAAAAGTCCAATTTGACAAGTTGCATCATCACTATATATCTGTGACAAATTTGACTTTTTAAGTCTTCAATGGTTCTTCTTGAGGGAAATACATGAACACAAATAAGTTAATGTAAGTAAAATGGTTGATAAGAATAACAAGATAGAATTATTGTTACTTTATTTGTTATTGACACATAAAGATGGCCGTGAGAGATCAATAGAAATCAATGTAACATGTAAAAAATTGACATTGCTTACATTAAGATTGGTCGATTGGAATGATGTTTAGTCCAATAGGCCTTTCAGGAAGAGAACTATTGTTTGTAAATTATGGACTGAGACTCAATATTTAACTTTTATTTTGGTATGTTTGAACTTGAGTTTAAAAGAAGAAACACCCTAGTAGCAGTAGATGAAACATTTTGTGTAAGATAAGATAACAAATTGGAAAAATACCACTTTAGATATAAAATGTAATGAGTCCATTTTTTGTATGTAAAATATGTCAGGTGATGTGCTAATCTGATAAAGACATTTTATATAACATATAAGTAGCCTAGCTACATGTTCATTATACCTCAAAGTTTGTAATCAATGTAAATTAACATGCATTTTACATACACTTATACACACAACTTTAGATAATGTCATAGATAACTTGAGAATTGTAACCAAGCCAACTTTAATGTACTCATTTTCCTTCTTTCTTAAAAAAATGGCTGATATACAAATTTGTAAAAAGTAGGTAAAAAGTGAATTTGGAATGTTAATTCATGATAAGTTTTTGGGTGCGAGTGTGACTAACTTTTAAGATCTGTTCATTTGTAAATGTAGTTATAGGTGCAATAGTTTACATCTGATATGCAGTACTGTATATACAGTGTTAGATAACTTTATTTATTTATTTTGTCATTTAGTTTGAGACACTCCCTTTAATTAACATAAATTATATGGTGATCTTTCATTTACAAGACTGAGATTTCCTACCTTAAAAACATGTCCATGTAGCATTTGGTGATTTTTAACCAACATTTTATATTTTACATTAATTAATCATTGTCTTGTTAAATTTGGAATGAACAATTAACTCTGTCCAAGTCAAAGAGAACATTTCAAGATGTAAACATGGTTTTAATTGGAAATAATAAACATTAGGCTTTGAAATGATCTAATAGACATTCACAATTTTTTTGTCAGCAATTTGTCAAACAGTAGAATTAACTTGCTGATCCTGTTTGTATCTGTTTCAAAACTTACTTTTTTATTTTTTAAATTTTACCCCTAGAGTTTTCTGTCTGAATATAAACCACGAATTCTTGTTTTTAATACAAATTAGCCATTTCAAAACGTACAATTTTATTTATTTAAATTTTACCTGAGTTATCTGTCAAGCATTCACTGCTTTAACACAGAAAGTACATCTTGTGGCTTTTTTTTAAAATGGAGTGTTTATGTAATCTTGATGTTTACTCTAACTAACAAAGATCTAACCAACATGCCGTAAGGAATGTCTGCACACTTCTTTATTTGCATTTTACAAAATATTGCAACCACTTTTCATCAGACAAGTTTTTAGGTTGTTATCTCATGAATTCCAGTCTATTTGGTTTAGTTTGCCAGGAATTGGGAAGTTAGTTAGTTGAGATTACAATATGTGTTAAGTTTGTGGTGTTGTTAATTCCTGTCGTGTTGGTTTCAACTCGCCAAGAATTCAGAATATTATGCGTTGATTTAATTAGTGTTTCAGTAATTAATATATATATACATGGATATATGCGATTGTTGTTTTCAGGTAGGTATGGAGTAATTCAAACTTTGTTTTTTCTTCATGATCTGTTTTGCTTTGGAATGATAATACATGTATGTCAAGGAATTTATACAGTTTTATATTTCTGTTAATTTCCAAACCGCTTATTGTGGTATGGTAATGTTTACACTATACAGCTTTTAATGAAAAGTTTTCCAGATTGACATGGTTACATGTTTGTACCTTCTAAAGAACTGATGCCACTTCTCTTTTTATGAGTTCACATATTTATAAGAATTTTGCTTCTCTCAGTTTACAGGGAATTAACAATGCCACATAGACTATAAATTGGATGATATCCTATGGAGCTGTTGTGTTCAGAATATATTGTAATATATGTTTCTGTATAATATTTCTAGTCCACTACTTTTTAACATTATTCATAATAAACATCAGAAATAACAATATGTGATGATATTTATGATGGTACCCTGTTATAGTTATATGACATTTTTCATTCCTAATCATATGCATTCCATAATTATCAAGTATTATCTTGCTCATAATCACCATCAGTAATGGTCATTTAGATATGCAGTGGATCAAAAATATTAATGATTAAACATTTCTTAGCTTTTGTGTACTGACCTAAAACAAAAGGTCCTTATCTTTTTTAATTTTTCAAGTATATCTGTTCCGTATTCACATGTTTATTGATGAGTTTTCAAATGGTTTCACATGACTTTCCTGTGCTTGATAAGGACAAGAGGAAACTTCTGGAAACTAGTGCTGACATGATATATCGTTGCACAATGTATCACGATTCACCTTCTTACGAATCGCTATTAAATCGCAAGACGCTGAATCAAGTTTTCACGATTCTTTTTTCTTTTTTTTTTTATCGCTTCAGTAAGTAACCTGTCGCTCTTAATTTTCCGTGTCACACATTATCCATAGGTACACAAATACTCTTAAATTGTTTTGGTCCTTATTTTGATCCACATCAATATCATGATATAAAACAGTTTTATTTCTACGACATCGGCAGGACTAAAAATATCAATTATTCATTTATCCTGTTGTTTTCTTGGTAAATATTGACCTGGTTATAAATCGTGGTACGAATCGTATCGTAGCACCTGAAACGCAATACATATCGTGTTGTGACTGCAGTGGCAATACCCAGCAGTAGTGGAAACGTCCTTCTTGTGTAATAAATAAAACCAGTGATTGCTTCCCACAAAAACTGAGTTCTGTTTCTCAATCACTAATGCCACTAAAAGATTGACATTCCTGTTATATGTCATGATGTATAGGTCAACTTGACTTGTAGACTAATAGAAACAGAACCCCAAAAATTATCCAGTCTGTAGCTACATGTATGTGTGCAGTGGATACCGAGTTAACAAAACTGGTTGATTGTGTCTAAAAGTAGATCTCTGTAGAATTATACCTGTTTAATTAAGACATTGTTTTTGGTACAATTATCAAGTCTTGTTATCTTTCTACAATGAGTTTATTTATTGTGTAGCCAAGCCATCTGAAACTGTGTGCTGAAGGTTCAAATTTTGACATTTATGCACTGATGGGTTTAATGTTCTATGCCACAATTGTTCATGACAAGGAATAGATGTGTCTCCAGGAGTTTATCCTATAGATGACAAGCATAAAGATTAACATGTTAGTCCCCCAATTTTTTTTTCTCTCTTCCGTAGTGTCTGGTAAAAGATAACAGAACGCCACAAAAATTTAATAAAGAATCATCATTTACAATTAGGCAGGTTGGATAGGCGAATGGTTAGCATGTGCACGCTGTATCATTAGGTCTGTCATTGATTCAACTGGCCTGGTTTTGATTCCCTGGTTGTACGTGACAAGGAGTAGGGTCGCCTGTCCAAACTCATGGATTTTCTTTGTGTCCTCTGGTTTCCTCCCACTGCTAAAGACCCCTACGCACAAGCGAATTGTTGAAATACAATTGAACCATGTGTCAAGTGGAAGTTAAACCCCATCTCTCTCTCTCTCTCTCTCTCTCTCTCTCATTTACAATTAGTTAACGAAACCTTTGTCTTCATTTACAGATTTCGCAAGTTAGCAAACATTAACATCTATTTTTGAATAATAACTTTTATATCTATAAAAACAATGAACATGTAGACATATATTTCTATAAATAAATGTACATGAATATTTGGAAGGAAATAGGATATTACCACACATGCTGGGCCATATTGTTCACTCTGACATCATAATGTTTCACACAACATCTTATAATAGTTTGAACACAAATCATCAGAGTGCACAGAAACAGATTTTATTTCTACCCAGCTCACATTTGACATTAAAGAACGTTGTAACTACGATAACAATGAACTGATGATCATACAGTTCTTTTACTTCAACATCTTATGTTTCAAGTATAACATCCGAGGGGTATGTCATATTGAAATCACTTTGTTTTTCCAAGGTAAATTTGAATATTATTCCTACCTTTACGAGGAAATACAACTGAATATAGGTCTGGATATGTTTTCTTGATGTTTGAAGGATTTACACAACTGTCAGGATTTGGGGGAATAAAATTAATTTTTGTGCTCCCCAGATCCATTCAAAATCTGATCAACTAATGGTAATGTGTTTGTTTTCCAGCATTTGTTGAGCTTTTAAAGCCTTGATTGAAAACAAATTCTGTGTGAGGTAGTTTATTTATTGGTTATATTTAATGCTTTATAAAAGTATATTATTTTGGTATTTTTCAGATGAACGATGGCCGGAAGAGTCAAGTTATCCTATTGGATGAACGGCGACTTGATATCGTCATTCAGGTAATTTGCTTTCTGTCCAAATTTAAATTTACTTTGTCATATGTATGATCCTGCATTGTAAGTACAACAGTGCAACAAAAAGATGTAACTCCATGTTTACTTTGAAAATGGAATGGTATTGTATGGTATGTACTATTTCCGCCATGTCTGGACAAGACAAACTTTAAAACTTTTGAACAAGGAGTGTTTGCTGTTGTTGATCTGCTGAAAGATGAAATTTACTCCCAGCTGAACTGTGTTTTGTGATTTCTTTGTCAGCCTCCAAATCTCGATTAAAAATCATCTTCTCAAAATTCAATACAAAAATTGACAAAAAGACATTGAGCCAATGAACTTTTCTATAGTTTTTGTATGCGCTATGAGCATGTTTTTTGGATTTGGTGCTACATGAATGGGCATATTATTATTAATAACTGGGCACCAATATAAGTTGGACTGCATGGAGGATTGAGTACCGCTCGTTTAAGATTAACATTCTCTGTCTCTGTGTTATCAAGAAATCTTTGGCACTGTTTGTTATATATTTGTTACTGTTATTTTACATGAAAAGAATTCTGTATTTTTTATCTGGGGATCAACTAGTAACCTAACTGGCACGACATCAAAACAGTTCTATAACCAGAACATAAGTTATCATAACAACAACTCAATTCTGTATATTAATATTATACTCTAGACACCTAATCTATTAAAACTTATTCTTTACTATCACTAGGGGAAAGATTTTATAAATGTGTAAATAAGTGTGGGATTGGGCAAGGGAATATTTTGGTCCTGCAGTATAACCCTTACTACATAGCTTTTCATACTTTATTGGAATACTAAGTCAAATTTTAGTGTAAAATTGAGAAGCAGTTTGCAAATGTTGTTGATAAATGTAAAATATAAATGTTTTACAAACATTAGAAATTAAGAAATTCAAAAGTTACGTCATACAGATTTGGTCAACTGCATTACATGTATGTATGTATGTTATGTATGTATGTATGTATGTATGTATGTATGTATGTATACATACTGTATTTTATATTGACTGACCAAAGGATAACAAATTATTTAACTTAAAATCAAGAACAAATATTAAATTAAAGGTGCATTATGACTTATGTAAGAGCTAAATCTGCCTATTGCAGGGCTTTTTTCTAGCTTCAAATCTTATGTAAATTATTATTTAGACATTTATTCACATGACAAGCCTATAATCATCTCTCTAGAATATCGGATGGCTAACATTTACATAGATCTGAACACCTGCGACATTTTAATATTTAATGATAAAATGTCTAATCAAGACCTAATCTTGGTTGTTGAGTACCATTGCTACGTTGATAAACGATCTGCGCTGTCACTACATCTTCAAAAAGTCATAACTTCACTCAGAATAAAATAATTTGAATGAAATTTTCAATATATTAATTTTTCATTATCTGTTTATGAACTATTATATACAGAAAGGCCAGCTCTTTATCTAAATCTTACATAATGCATCTAAAAGCATTGCAAATATCCTGCTTTTTGTTATCAAGGCACAATGTAAGTAATGTAGAGGTACAATTTGCTGCACTAATATGCCTAAATTGCTCTTGTAATTTATGTTATATAACAAAAGACTAAATGCAAATAAAAACATTTATTTGTACTTAGAAATTTGTTAGTAACTATAAATTTATTTGGGCATGTTACATGTATATGGAACAGTTTAACATAGAACTAGGGCCAGACAATAGCATTGAAGAACTTGAGCTACACATACTTTCAACCTTTATTCTTAAAAAAAAAAAATCTGGTGCCTAGTACAATCCTTTTATAAATAGTTCACCATGCCATTACTTGCATGTATACATAATTGTCATATGGTAAGAATTCTGGTTTCTATTTTCTATGTTTACATTATGTCTACTTACTGTTGTATTGTATACTATAACAAAAACACACATGGCCACATGGTCCTATATATACCTGTACTGTAATGTGTGTGTTTCTGTAGGGACTGGTCTTAATTTTGTTACAATTTACAATAAATTCCTAGTAACATTTTGTAAATGTTTTAACTTAAACTAATCACAATTTTCCAACAATTCTATAGTTGCAGTATTTAAATTAATGGTACAATGGAAAGAATTTTATTACAAATTTGTTTCATGAATTGAGAATTTAGTTTTGATAAAATCTTCATAATCCCCCCCCCCCCCCCCAAAAAAAAAAAACCAAAACATTTTCGGTGAAATAAGGCTCTAACTTGTCAACCATTTGAATTCAGTCATTTAACTCCAAAGACAGCACATGCTATGCATTATATTACTTGTTTTAAATGATTTTATGTAATCTTTAACGTATCTCAACCATTAGATATGTTTATTATTTTAAATAAATTGTAGATAGAATTGAACATGTCCCAATTGTCAAAGCAAACATTGTGTCTTTCATAAAATTTTGTAATTCGACTCAACACAAGTTTGTTAAGTTATAAAATATATTTTGTAATTTCAGCCCAAGTTGTACACCAGCGATCTTCTGGACATGGTATCCTCACATTTTAGACTGAAAGAAAAACAATATTTTGGAATAGCTTTTATTGACGAAACGTAAGTACAGTTTAGTGTATGTAGTAGTATAGTTAAATGAGGGGTTAGGGGACTCAGGTCCTGCTTTAAAGCACCTCAAGGTGGTTATGCCACCTTCAGAAAACTCCAGGAAGTAATAGATTAAATGAATCTTACTCCTTTGCAAAATGTTTGCAGCACATGTGAGTGTATTAATATAGTCTGCTAATACTAATAATAGTTTTCTATTTAAAGGGAAGTAACTCCAATTTTTGATTCCTTGTTGAAATTTTCTGTAAGAAAACTACCATACACAATGTTTATATCAATTCAAAATGTGATAAGTTTAAGAACTTTTCATAAAAAAAAATTAATATTCTATATTTTGTCATGACTGGTAGAAAATTAACGAACCGAAAAAATAACCCAAATAAAATGTCAGCTCCCTTATAACAGCTAGCTATAGCTTTTACAAAAACTTTTTAAAAATTGAATACACAATACAAATAAGATATAAAATGAATTTATATTCTCAAAGTAAAAGAATAAAATCTCCCAATGCCTTCCCTGACATAGTTATAAATGACACTTCTACTTTTTATTTTAAATCTTAAAAAATGTGAGATGCTATTGGCAATGATATAAATCAGCAATTTGAGATTCGAGGTGGATAGTTTTTTTAAAAGTAAAGGTTTGAAAAGATTAGAACATAAAAAAAGGAGACCGGGTAAAGTTTGAGGGGATTTATTTTATATAAGCCTGTTTTTATGAAATTACTCGAGAATCCTCGTGACTCGGGGAGACCGAGTAAAGTTTGAGGGGATTTATTTTATAAAGGTCTGTTTTGATGGCATAACTTGAGAACCCTTGTGAGAACATTCCAACCTTGTAGTATCTATACCTGTACACACTCCCATCCCATGTCTCAAAGAACTCTACACATAACTCTATACATAATGCCTGTGGCATTAACCAGAATTGAAATATCTCTCAGTATCTCTTTAATCATATCACTAAAATCTTGATATGCATGAGTAAATGAATGAAGGTGGATGAATGAAAGTAACCTGATTTATTAAATCCTGTTTAAAAAAAAAAAATCACCTTCAAGTTTGAAGTAAAAAATTGTCCTCACTAACCTTGAGAAAATTTGTCTTTGATCTAAGGGTATGTTATTTAGCTAAACATAGATAATTTGTTTTTGATAAAATTTCTCAAGTATTGAGCACATGTCATCGTGGTAAAAGGTTTATTATCTTAAACAGGTACAATGTACATGTAACATGTAAAATAAGATAGTTTTCTTAAACAAGCCAGACCCTTAATAACATATTCTAATTATGGGGGCTTAAGTGATTACATTGGAACATTTATGATTAAGACCAATTTTTGCCATTAATGATATTTTGGAAATTAGAAAATGATCAAATTAAACAGATATTTATCTCCTGTCTTACATATAGAATAAGAATTATTATTTTAAATAGTTATGTTATGATGAATTTTGTAATTGTAGATGGATGACATAATATGCTATTGACTAATGTGATTTAAGTCCATGTAGTGTTGTTTTATTGATTTATTGGCCTACAAGTAGATGTATATCGTGATCTAGGAGCCACAGTGGCTGAGTGAGTAAGACACTGGCTTGCTAGCCTGTAGGTCGAGTGTTCGATCCCTGCATTGGCTGAGAAAGTTCATCGGAATTTTACGACGTGGTTTCCCCTTGTCAGTGATGCAGGACAGAGGGCCTGACAAGAAAAGCTGTCTCTAGTCGTTCGGATGGGACAAAAAACTGAGGTCCCATGTATACATTGGCATGTGCGTAAAAGATCCCTTGGCAGTTGGAATTCGATATAAGAGTAGGCCATAGTGCCGCTTCCTGGGCAAAATTTCCCTCACAGCACACTGTATGGCGAATGCCCGTCTTCCTTATCCCAGAGGGGGTTGGATGGTCGAATGGTTAGCATGTGCGTGCTGTATCATAAAGCTTGTCATTGAGTCAACTGGCGTGGTTCGAATCCCTGGTTGTACATGACAAGGAGTAGGGTCGCCTGTCCAACTTTGTGGGTTTTCTCCAGGTCCTCCGGTTTACTCCCACTGCTAAAGACCCCAACACGCAAGCGAATTATTGAAATAAAATTAAACCATGTTAGTCCCGAAATGACCTAGTTTGTGTCGAGTGGACATTAAACCCCATCTCTCTCTCTCTCTCTCTCATTAGCCCAGTCGGAGCAGAACAATAGGACATGACTAAATATAATAAGTACTTCTGTTTGACATTATAATTTAAAATGTTGAATCATAATATAGGACAAAGATTTGAGTATAAGAGAATGAATGATGAATGAAATATTTCAAGAAGACCAATCCTGTGTCAAATACTTTACCTAGATATAATGTACATTATATCACTTCTACCCCATTATTACTATATAGGCTATAGCTATGTAATAAAATACTTATAATATCATGTGAGTGGAGAGTAAAACATATCCTGGTCAGCTGAATCCTAGGTAATACAAAAAAGACTTATCTGTTTAAGCAAAATTAGCATATTTGAGTGAAGTAGTGTTTTATGTTTATTGTTTGTATAGTAAACCAAGATATTTTACATAGTTAAGGTCCTGTTCTAATTATAGTAACGGATAGTAAAAATTGTGTAGTTAGGTCATGTGACTGGGCAATACCTAGGTAAATAATCTACAGTGAGATATATATGTCATGTTGTACACATGTGGTTGCAGTATATTGTTAAATTTGATTATTTAGGGTAAAAAATTATCTAAAGGTACAGTAATATATATTTTTTTTTTAGTGTAAGTTAGATACATGTATAAAATTCTTAATGGTGATAAAATCATTGGAATCTCAAAGTCTGAATTACCTTATATAGTTGTATATAATAGCTGGGGCTAGGATTAATTGAAATATTAAAATACCATCAACAATAGAGTACTGTTCACACAAGAAATTCTCTTTCTATAGCACTGTTAAGAACCATATTGATTCCTACTTCAATGATACTAAAACCTATGTTATTATATAGCTGTTGTACTTGTAGTAGGTAAAACATGAATAGAACTTTAAAATGGAGCACTTCAAATGTTTTACACATAGACAGGGACTAAGTATTGTAGGCAGTGTTTATCAAAAGCGTTTTATTGTTTATTGAAATTTGAAGTAAACAGGATATCAAATGTTAAGACTTACGTATAATGTAATGAAAGTGAATAGACAAAATGTAATGTATTTTCTATAAAAAGAATTGGTTGATTGACTGACAGTAGGATTATAACTGTTTCCACTATTATAATTTTATTTTTTAAAAGACATATGCTTTGTCATTGGCCAGTACATGTAGGGTAATTAAGCTATATTATAAGCCATCTGAACAGGTTTTGTGTTGAAATGGGGGAACAATTTGTTATGAAAATGTTAGCTATGATGTACTTACTATTTTAAAATGCTCACACTTGTACATAACTAATCTTGAATTTTTGAAAGTCTCAGGAATTCGAGATGCATTTTTACCATAAATCATACAGAATATTATAGTCTTGTCGGGTTGATGAACCACAAATGGCATGCTTTGTCATATCTGATGGACCAGGAAGAAAACAACCTGTGAACTATAAAATAAAATTTTGTGAAATTCGGTTGCTGAAATCTGTCCTCTACTTGCCATGAATTAGGGTTGTAGACTTGTAGTGTTAAAATTAATTTTAGGACAGATTCTGAAATCACTTCATATTCAGTGACTTTACTATTAGGTAATATTGTTGTAGTATTTATGTTCTACGGTATTTGGGGCTTGTGCATAAATCTGTAAACAAGTGATTTGTGACCTAATCTATTTTAAAACTAGATCATGTTTGTGCTCATTTTCTGGCTGACAGTTTTCTCATGTTTACTCTTATTTCAAATATTTAGGAAATTTGTCACCAAAACATGTCTGTTGTATTCATTTCCTCTTGTTCATATTTCTACCATACCAACACTTTCTGGTGTGGTAAAGTAATCATATACTGATACCTCAGTATAGGGTGGGGATCAGTGTGGCTTCCAACAACCTACCAGTAAAGCCCTAAGAAAATATCTATAAGGGCGTTGTTTTCAAAACTATAATAGAAAGAGGATCCCTACCTCGTCATTGTGGGGAAATCTGTGTGAACCAATATTTTCATATTTCTGGTCACATTCTGGTGTGATAAAGCAATCAATCATATATTCAAGTCTTTAGTTCCTGGCAATGATTAGCGTTTCCACTTTAGCTTAACCGATGAATTTTGTGCAGGATCCAGTCACTGTTATAAAAAAAGAAAATATCTTTATTATCATGTGAATTATTGAAAAAAACAAAAACAAAAAACCTTACAATCTTTATCTAAAAATGACTTAGTTGTGTTGAATGGCTTGCAAAACCCCATTTTCTTCCTGCCTTTTAACAATAAAAACACTTTCCTATACGATATAATACAATATGTTATTAAAGTCTTCTATGTCAGGTTTTTACTTCAATAACTCACATAGTATCCTATTTATGTTTTTCTATTTCAAATGAATGAATAGAGGGTGATTTATTTTGTGTCATTGTGAAATTGAAACCTTAAAGTTTTTGTATCCTTTTTCAGAGGACATTATAATTGGTTAAATTCGGAGAAACGTGTATTAGATCATGATTTTCCCAAGAAAAATGGTGTTTTAACTTTACATTTCTCAATTCGGTAAGTGATATTTACTGGTAATGTATATGACATTTGTCCATTTAAGTCCTTTAATTCTGCAACTGGGTAGAATGGACAGCTGTAGTTGTGTGGTGGCAAGATAGGAAGGGGTTATGTCTACAAATTGGTAATGTTACAGCTTGTAAAAGATCACTTTGCCGCTTGAATTAATTGAATATATGTATAATGCTGCTGCCCAAACAAAATTCTTCGTTTATCTTCTTTAAATGGCATTGAGTTACTGGATAGAGTAACAACAGAGAATACTCTACGAAACGTCGCCTTAAATACACTAGTAGCTGTTTTCCATAAGTATGTGTTTTGTTCTTCCTTTATCATTGCGAAGTAATTAATAAAATGTCTCAAAATGTCATATGAATTGTGTTAATGAGGCGCTAAACACTCTTCTTTTTATGTCTATATCCAGGGAGAAGCATTGATATAAAAATAATGTATATGAAATGTAACTATTAATTATTTATGTATATTTTGTATATTATTACAGATTTTATATAGAAACTATAGGATTATTACGTGATATAGCAACAGTAGAATTATTTTATCTTAATGCAAGACAAACAGTATTCAAGGTGAGAAATTACGATATCTATATCATTTTAACATGTAGTCAATGACTCAATGCCCTTGTCCAATTATTTCACACCAAAGTTTCTACTATTTATTAAACATTTATATGTATCAGTATAGATACATATACAATATAATGTATACACTTCCCATTTTTAATGTTAATACACTTGTCTGATTTCATACAGTGGTAGTGTTTTCTGCCTGATAACAAATGTGTGAAAAAAAGCTTTACCTAGAGACAAAGTTAGATGTCTGTGTCTCTATCACCTGCAATTTGAGATATCGTTGATATGAGTACCTGAACATTTCATAACCCAGCCTACATCCAATGTCTTTCGATCCTACTGTCAAAATTTGTTTTTTAGTTCAACTTGGTCTATCACTTTCAAATATTTATTATATTGTGTTTTGGGTCACTTTAGGACATTTCTCAACTTTTTGTCTTTCAAAATGGTTATTGTAAGTAATGGGCTTTCAAGCGATTTTGACCTTATGAACTCTTTTATTGTTTATTAATAAGTAGTACTCTATGTAAATTGTCCACCATATATCAAGTAGGAGCTTCAATAATGTCTATTTAATATAGTCTGTTTATAACAAATCCTGTGAGATCAAGTGGAACATTAATATAATATTGATAAAGGTATGAAGTTCACACTTAGTAATTACTACATATTGTGTTTCATACGAAAAGATGACTTAACACAGTCAGGCGTGTTTGAAAATTATGTAACTTGTTTAATAAGAGTATAATAAAATACAGTGTTCGAGACAATACTAGCTGTAAAAATATCAAATTTATAAAATTGTTTTTAATGTGTATTTCAGGGTCTGATAGAGTGTGATAGTGAAACAGTATTTGAATTAGCAGCCCATGTATTACAGCTGTCACATGGTGATTACATCAGGTATGACCATATTTACATATAATTTGCACATTTAAAGAAACACAATTTCTGTACTTTTTGGGCGACTATCATTTTGAGATTATAACAATGGGCATCAAATCCAACTTGTCATTGGTAAAACCTGTATCTAGTATTTATGATGATACGAAAAAACTGAGATTCTCTGTGTAAATTAGTATTGCATGTAAAAAAATTCAAAGTAAAGAAGGCAGAAGCACTTCCATCGGGGCACAAAAACAAATTTCAAAGAACAGATTTGAAGTGTCTGACGACTTACGGATGTTATAAACCTGGAAGTCATGTCATTATACAGCTATTTTTTAGGGTGTTTAAATATTAAAGGTGCTTGTGTTTCACCTGGTTAAATAAAGATTTTATTGCAGTACATTTATTATGCAAAAACAGATTTAACTTTTTACCTTAATAAAAACCCAATTTTGCCACAAAAAGAATTAAAGAGTGGTCTGAATTATGTGACGTCATAATTAAATCATGTGATTAAGCAAGCAAAACATAATATAGTTAATCATGAAAAATAGAAATGCCATGTTAGTCTCAAAATAACCAAAATATGAAATGGCAACTAACCGGTACACTGACCGATTTCTCATAATGTGTTTCATTAGCCTGTGATAGACTTGATTTAGGTTATCATTATATCAGGCCTTAAGGACCACAGAATGAACGACAATACAATTTTATAAGCAAGGTATCTATTTGTATCATGGCTTATGGCATAAATACGAATAATAAATGCTATCAGTTACTTTTAGCATAATAACAAATTTTATTCTGACAAAAATGAGTGCAATTTTTCCCCAGAGCTAATTCATTAAATTCTTCCATTGTTTAAACATTACACATCATTAGATAAACAAAGTTTACCCCATGGGGGTTGATATAAATTTCATTTCATTAGCTAAATCAGTTGAAGTCATTGGTTAGTTAATTATTATCAAGCAGTGTTTTTGAATGGGAATCACAGGGAATAGTTACAGAATTTTATTTGGAAGTGATAGCGAACCTTAGGTGGTCAAAAGGTCTAATGTGTGCACTTTAGATCATAAGGTCAGTCATTGAGTCACATGGTTTGGTATTGACACCACATTTGCATGTGACAAGCAGAAGGGTCGCCTACCTAACCTGGTGAGTTTTTCTCCAGGTCTTCCTGTTTTCTCCCACCGCAAAAACACATCTATACGCAAGCAAATTATTGAAATAAAATTTACCATATATTAGTCCCAAAATGACCAAGTTTGTGTTAAGTCCAGTTATAACCAAGTCTCTCTCTCTTTAACTTCATTTAACAATCAATCTTATAATGATTTTGTTAGAGAGCTAGAGATGTATTCTTATATCATTAACTAAATAAATATTATTACCAGGAAAACCCTCACCTCTCATTACTATCATGATTTGTACCATGTACTATTGGGAATTATTTTGTCATTAATGATATAAATATTGGGCATCTGCTTCTGGAAGCATGCGTGTTTATAACTTGAAATCAATATCTGTCACATTCCTTTGCTAAATTCACATCATTATGCTGTTTTCTTTCATAAGACCTTCTGCACATGTATCAGTTGTTTGGATGAATGAAAGTTGCTTAAATCTCAATTGTTCCAGAATATATGATGAACATAGACTGTCAGACAATAGGATATATGCAATAAAAACATATCTTACCAAAAAGGGCATAATAATTCATAGTAAATTTTGAACAGTACCACTATCGATATTTAAAATAACCTAAATCCTACTTAAGAAATGTTTATAGAATGTAAGTTGAAAGTGTCTTGTCGATTGCTTGATGGACATGTCTTCAATTGTGTACCTTAGTGTAGTTTATTCCCATTTAATTGTGTAGTTAAATTTAATCAAATCAAATATATTTTTCCAGACAGCAAAAATCTCAGAAACTGTAATGTCTCTTTAAGCATTTAGGACTGCATTGTATAAACTAGCTGAGGGTGATATTTATCTTATCTAAAGATATGTTTGATTAACTACAAATCTAAATAAGGTGCATTAATACCCACAGATTCCATTTTATTGCTAGATTAATCTGAGCATGATTTTCTACTTAGACTGGGATAATTGTCATTTGCCTGAAGCTACAATGGATTCTGTAAAACAAGTACTCTTTTAAGAGGAGGGATTGAACATTTCTTGCTGTCCTTTATCTTTTAGTAGACTTTCCTTATTTATAAGTATATTAGACTGTAGACTGTTAGGTATATTCTAATACTTATATTTTTCTGTGTCGTTTCTAAGTCCTTATATTATCATACAACCGTCAGTTGATTTTGTCATACTAGCAATTTATTGTGACTGCTAGTGTTATGTAAAATCTACTTTTTTTAAGGGCTTAAATCGATATGTCATGTCAGTAAGTGACATGTTTGATAAAATTCCTCAGAGGATCTGATAATTGAAAACTGTGGCAAGGATCTTATTTCTGTTCCCTTAGCCAAGTCTGTGAAAATGAGATAAGCAAATCAAGGATCATGACTATAGTATTTCTATAGACTGATAGCCAGTCTAAAACTACATGTAAGGTGGAAAATATATTATGGAATAATGTCATAGATGACAACAAACTGACATGGACTTAGAAATTACAATTCTTGATTGAGACAAAAAGGAAATGAATAAAATGCTGGTTATTATAAAGAAACATCTTTTCTATATTTTTTTGATGTAAAGAATTTACTATTGTTCTATTGTTTGAACTTTTACTCCCAAATAAATTGAATATTGAAACTAAATATTCTCTACTTGTTTTGTTATGTAGATTATTGACATACATAAAAGGTTTGAAAGTGTATTTAATTCAAGGTACTTCCCTTTGGTAACAATTGTAAAAAGATTTTAAAGTGCTAACTGGATTGAAATGTTTTTGTTTTAATTCAATGAATTGTATGACAATACATATCCTTTCAGCAATTCTAAGGACAGACCAACCTGTACTTCATCTACTTTCTGTTGCTAAATGGAAAGAAAATCATTGTTAAAAAAAGACCTACATGCAGTGTTTTTTCCTGATGAGTCAAATTAAGTTTTTACAATCCACTTCAATGGAATGTAGTGGTCGTGTTTAAGTGAAAGCTGTTGAACAGGCTTTTTTGTTGCTAAATTGGATTTTGTGAAGCATTTTAGTAATTAAGGATGAATACTTACATGTCATGTAGTGGAGAGATATGGCTTCCTGTACAGGTTTTTTTTCAACATTTTTTCTTGTAGACAAATTGATGTGTTAATTAAACTTTAGTCACATATAGGTTACAATGTAAATTTAAAGATTGTGTTGTCAAATTTCAACCTTGGAATACTCTTTTAATCCAGATAGAACACCATTTACAAATAAATGAAATAAGGTGATCTCAATTCAGGAACAAGTATGTTAGGTGGATGCATTTAGTAGGGACTGTAAATGTATTAGCCAAATAACACACTATTTATGGATAACAATTACTGTGGTTTATTTCACTGCGACGTTTCAACAAGATTTCACAAGTCGTTATCAAGCATATAACACAAATATTTGATTATGTTCCAATTACTAAATGCCATTTAAAGAATAGAATAAATGTATTAGCCGCTTGAAATCAACATAGCTAACAAAATTTACTGTTTCTGTGACAAATACCAGGCTTAACTGTTCTGAGAATGGTTCTAGGTGGGTTTTATCAGGATACAGTATAAATAAGAGTTAGGTCAATTAATATTGGTGAAGAAAATGTACTTTTGTCATAGACTTACCATGTATTGTTGACTTTCATTTCATCTGGCCTGTTTCTTTGCTATTAGTTGTTTTTTATTTTGTTTTAATTTACTGTTTAATGAGAGGGACTAATATTTCGATTGGACCAGACTATATTTAAAAGATAAATACATTCATTCAAAGGGACTAGCGATTAGGTTGATTTTGGAACAGCAAATCCAAAACAACAATATATTAATAATTAAAGATGGCTACATCCTTTCAATCCCACTGCATGTTTTTGACCTTCTATAAAAAATGACATGAGGTATGACCTAGAGAGCCATTATTGAACAGACAGCTATCAGAGTTAACTTCTCCTTATTAAATCAGCTCTCAATTACACAAAACTATCCTACAATTTATTTCAATTAAATGCAATTTATGTGTCAGAGTGAAGTTTAAACGTTTCTGATTGCATGTGAATTGCATGTGAGATTGACAGCAAGGTAAATGATACAGTTGAAATTACTGGTGGAGTCAATAATAGGGCAAGATAAATTGTCAGGTTATTGTAACAGGTCATTCTGCTTTTAACCACAGAATGTCCCAGAATAAATTAATATGAAATTGATGGGAAAAAGATGTAAATCTGTGCAACAAGTGATAGTCCTATCTGTCTTATCTGTTAGTTAGAAAGTTGGAAAAGGTCAGCATTTGCCTACACCCAATTTAAGAATTATACAAATTATCAAGGTTATTGTCCCCCGCCTTTCGATGAAAGCAGGGGACTATTAAAATGGATTCGTCCGTCTGTCTGTCTGTCCGTTAGAATTTTTTGGGACACAATAACTCTCCTTCTAATTGGTGTAGGTGTTTATTAGATCAATGCCTTGATGGAGTTCGAAGATGAGCATTTTCTGCTTAGGGTAAGCAGAGATAAGCAATTTGATTTATTGATGCTTTGGGACACGATAACTTTAGTTCTAATTAAGTGAGAGTGATGTAACTTGGTGTATAGTTTCATTACATCAATACCTTGACTAAGTTCGATAATGAGCATTTTCTGCTCGGGGTAACCAGAGCGGTAAGCAATTTGATTGGCCGAGACTTTAGAACACAATAACTCTCCTTCTAATTGAGCTAGAATGTTCAAACTTGGTGTAGGTGTTTATGAGGTCAATGCCTTGATAGAGTGCGAAGATGAGCATTTTCTGTTTATGGTAAGTAGAAATAAGCAATTTGATTGGTTGATGCTTTGGAACACGATAACTTTAGTTCTAATTAAGTGAGA